ACACTTGTGAGCCTGAGCCCCCAGAAGATAGGAGCCAAAAGAAAATACTCTCTGAAGGGTCTTGAAAACACCTGAAAACAGTCTAACTCCTTCTCCCAGGGTGAGGAAATGGCTGTTACAGCTCAGCAGGCGTTACCCTGCTCCCGGAGGTGCTGTGCTTACCCCACCCAGCAAGGTGACCCCTGTTCCCAAAGGAAGGGACAAGGCTGTTCATTTTTGCAGAATGACCGCTTTCTAAATGGCTGAGCTCTAGTGAGAGGGTAAAGGGCCTGTTCATTTGTAGAGACAAAGGACTGTATGAAAGCAGCAGTGGCCAACACTCCCTGCAGATCTGTGGTCTGAGGGTCCGTAAGGGGTATGGGCAGGGTAGCACAAAGTTCAGGTTGAGGAGAGCTTCCTTTGTCTTTTGCGCTCGTTGGTTTCAAAATTCTCCAGATTTGAAATCCAGTTTGGTGTGACTGGAAACAGCTTTGATCACTAGATGGCAATAAAGAATCAACGTGCTCTTCCCTGCTCAACCGGGAACGTTTGTAAGAGCTTGGCCTAGATTTGCCTTGGGAGAAGGAACTGGAAGGTACTAGAGAAACCATGAAAACAAGTGTGCAGTCATTCTGTTTGGTCATGAAGAGTTGTTTTGTTATTGTCTGTTTCTTTAAAAAAAAAAAAAAAAAAAAGAGATAGGTTGTATTTACCAAGCAGAAAATGATTATCAGATTAAAAGTATGATTCTGAGTAAGAAAAGGAAGCTTAGCCTCACTGGGACAGGCACTCAGAGAATATAGCACCATACTCCTGAAACACTGCTGATGTTTCAAATACACTGAGTTCAGTGTTTTACCCTGAAGCTTAGGACACATTTTTTATTCTTTAGCAGTGGCAGTAGGCAATGCATTTCTATGTGACCCTCCTTCCCCCGTAAAAGCTTACCTACATGCCTCTCCACGTGGTTTTTTTTTAAACAATCTTTTGTCGTAGTGAAAACTTTAATACAAATCTACGAGATACCAGAATGAAGCACAGCTTGTGTTCGTCCATTTCCTAGGTGCTGTATGCTGGTGGCTTCTCCTCCACTACACTGTGTGCTCTGTGTTAATTTTGCTTGAAGGTTAATCTCGTTTGAAGGCAGGAGTTTTGTGTGTACAGAAAATTGCTAAGCCAGCTGGCATATCCTACTCCCATATACTGTTGTGATTCGAAAGCAGTGTTATGGGAAGCAGAAGGAACTAAATGAAGAAATTAAACTGACAATATGCCCTGCAGTGAGCTGATGGGGAAAAGCTGAATGACCTATTTTTGGATTTGCCCACTGCTGCTTCTCAGTGGTTCTGTTGCAAAGGACAATGTGGGCTCTCAATACTTATTGCTGTCTTCTATGGGATGTGGATTTTCAATAATCCAGGTGGTAAAAGTATCTATTAAGGGCCAACACAAAGCTGCCATACCTCTTCAGCACGTTTAAAGAAAAAACGAGCAGCATATTTTTTACAAACCCTACCCAACTATGTAATTTCCATAGTACTTCATGATTGACAGCTCTTCATTTGCTGTTGAAGGGCTTTCTGGGTTGCTTGAATGGAGTCACGTTGGGATAAAACTTGGCAGAAACTTGAGCCCAACTACTACTGTTTTTATTATTTAGAAGAAACCCACAAAAATTAAACAAAAGTATTAGATGGA